TTAAGATCCTGGGGCAGGATCCTGGTAGGATCCTATTAAGATCCTGGCAAGATCCTGGTAGGATCTTAATTTTATTAATTAATTTTGTCCCGATCCCGATAACTCATCGTTTTCAAGACTATTACGCAAATCTTTTATCTGAAATTTGAAATTTTTATGATACCTTAGACGTCCTGGTATACTCATGCAAGAAAAAGCTCATTTCCAAAACCAAGGAAGCTCGCGCGCCTAATAGACTACAATAATTGAAACTTGAAAAGACATGCAAACCAGAAGGGGTTAGTGTTGTATGGACCAGTATCCGGCTAATCACCTCCCTCGTGGATGGCCGCAACGGTCATCCATTCAGGATCCTATTAAGATCCTGGCACGATTTAGCGCACATTCCAATGAAAATTATGCTCCGCGTTTCCTGTTCAAGTAAAACAATAATTTCAATATTCTACACAGTTATAATCATTTCACTAATCGCAATATCTTTGCAAAGCTTTGAAGTCTATCTGGCATAGCCGGGCTTCCTGTCCCTCTAAACATATAAATCCTAAACTTTGTGTGCTACGTCATAACCGTGTTACAGTAGTGTACAGGGGTAGACATCAGTGCTTGGGGTCCGTCTATTTCCTCTAGACGTATTGAACAATGTTTGGAGATGCTCTTGATATCTTGTGCGATAATATTTTATTAAAAAGAGTGTTAATTCTTACTTGGAGTAATGGACACTTTGAATACTATCAACGAACCACAAAATACTTTTTTTGGGACAATTTCTAGATTCACTGAAGCATACTTATCACCTATAAGGACAAAATAATAAAAATGTGAGCATATTGACCCTGTTTGTTTATTCTTTGGGTCGCCATACCGTAATAACATGTAATAATGAGAATGGTTGATACTCAGATCTCTACAGGATCATTGGTGATGAACATGATTACATCAGAATAAATTAAATACAACGATTGGGAGTGTCAATGGTTCCATGTGTCGRCTTCATATTTTTTACTACTCACAATTTGTTGTTGGGGAATGAATTTGCCGAAATTGAAGGTGGGGGAGRGGGATAGCGAGTCGGCTATGTTAGAATAACTAGTGTTTCGCACCTACCAGTACAGACCAGTGCCGACTGGTTTCTGATATGAGGAGACTCTAAAAGGTTTGGCAGACGAACAAGATTATAACAATGGATACCACAAAACATTCCAAGAAACACTACAATAATCGTTTGTATTTCCATTGATATAGGAACTCGACTCTTGTGCAAAATAAAAACTARAACAACAAACAAATTAAAACGGTCAATGTTGTCAAAAAAATCAATAGGCCTCTAGAAAGAAATCGAACATTCATTAAAACTAATTGCAGATTTTCCCCGAGATACCTATTAAATCTTTTCCTTTGATTTAATGAACAAAATGCTTACCGTCAGATTTCAAGTGTTGCAAGTACTCGTTCCTCTAAGTTTGAAATTTGTCATGAGTAGTAAATGTTTCGTACCGGTAGGATGAACAACTCCTTTCGAAACCTGTTTTTGAATAATCTTTCGTGAAATGCTTGATACCTGGCGTCACATGACAGGACTGTATGTCACTGAATCAACCAAAAACCTGCCCTTGATTTTTGAGCAGCGTGACGCTGGCGGATTAAGACAGACATGCCATACACGTATAGTAAATTACGTACAGCAGTCAAACACATAATCACCTTAGAATACGACTAATCGACTAACGTATTTTCAGTTTAATTTGAATTTGTCTTGGGTATTCTTTTAGAGACATGGCCTCCATCTCGCACATTTTCTTGTGGCTTTCCAAACCATATCAAATATATGAATAGATTGAAAATTGTACACGGTTTTAAGTTGTCCTCTAGTATTTACACGTTCTTAGGTCAAAAAATGCTTAATTGTTCTCACGGGTTTGGAATCTTTGAGCATTTTATAATGASCTCAAAGAAACCATGGCTAGAAACCTGGTAAATGATCATTTACTAATGACGTCATGCTCGTTTTGACGAAATGCATCATGGTATTGATAAAAGTATCCAGATGGTGGATGTCTACTAAATACTGGCGGAGGACGAAGTTTCTTTGCAAAGTTAGATTATCTGCCTGCAGTATAGAGTATAATCAAAGACCTGTTTGAGAGATCATTTTAATTATTGAAATGTTGATAATTGGAAAATACATCCTTAGTACCTCTCGCTGACAGTAGGGAAAGGCTCGATCACTGCATATTGACACAACTTCAAGAGCGATGTTGTACTTTGTTGGATTATTTTACAGTTAAATCAACCTCAGCATTATATAATAAGTCATCGTCCAATGAACTCTATCCTAAGCCCACGTAAAGCTCCAACCAAACGAGACAGCCAACCTCTTGGTCTTTTTGATCTGTGCATGATACTGTCACCTTGTAATGACCCTGGGGAAAAAACAAAAACAAAAAATAGATGGACGTGGAGAAAAGGCTTTTTTTTGAACGCAGAGAATGTTGAGTTATTAGAACTTCACTGAGTACCTTTGGAAGAACGCAGGCAGGCGACATRTTAGAAGTAGTAGTGAATGTATACTTCTCTGCATTAAAATGAAAATATCAAATACATGATGTTAATTCTTTAAAAACTCAATTAATTGATTAATTGGCCAACCAATCCATACATGCAAAGTTTCTCTCAAAGAAAATCGATATTAGCTTGTAAGCTGAAGATMAATCAACCGTTTGAATATGTGTTTATTGTAACATCTACTTACTTCCTTTAAGCAAGGGACAGCTCAAGTACTTGTTACTGCAAWAATCACTGRAAGCTTTCGTGTACCAAATGACTCCGTTCCATTTCAGAGAAAATKTACATTCCAAGTAAAGAATGTCCGTTTCTGAAAAGAAACTAAAGATGGTCCCCTATTCTATTCTCTCGTATGGTCGCCTAGTTCGCATTTGTCTGTTGGTCGAACTGTTCTCCATAGTTTCATTCACCASTGCTCTCATTCTATCCACACTGATACTATTCATAATCCTACTTCCATTCGCTCATTTACTCTCATCTACTTATAACCCTAGTTTCTTTGCCATGTTGTATAATAATACTATGTATACGGTCAGTCAACACTACGGCCTACGTACTTGGTATATAAGCGATTTGACCMACAACTGATTCTCCGCAGGAAATGYGCTTTGGAAYACTCTGGAGGACTTTAAGGAGCATGWACTTTTCYCCTGAAAGAAAGAAAACAAAAATCGAGATTTATTCATGATAAGATTTTTTACTGAAATCGCTGTCAACAAATAGATCAAATGCCAGCATTACAGCGTAATCAACGATGTAAAATGATGAACGTGAATTGCTATTGAGCTCATCAATATCACCAGGGGAGGGTCCAAGGGGCGTGCCTCCCTCTTTTGGTAAAGCTAAAKCGAACAGACAGTACTTGGAATGCATTTGTCCAATATAACCTAGTATTACCAAGTAACTATTAATGATTAATAAAAGTGGTTGTCGACAGTGTTAATGTCAAATCAAAAAGCAAATATTTGGCAATATCCATCTAACCTACCAGTGCAAACCAGTAATGATTGKTTCTTAAAACGAGGAGATTCTGCAGGATTTGGTAACCGAGTCCAAGATTTACCATGAATAACACAAATCAACCACATAACAATGGTAGCAATGTGATGACCACGTGATTGCATTCTTACTACCATATACGATAAATCCTGTATGTAATGTTTAAAGTCCGACAATGAGGATCACTGGACGGGATTTCAAGTCCGCGCAATTAGTTCCAGTCCGAGGCGTTAGGTACGAGTACTTCCTCTGGTTTCAAGTTACTTCACGTGGTACAAATTACAATCAGGGATTGGCTAGATACCTAATGAATAATTAATGAGTATGAGAAAGGAGTGTTAGAACACCAACAAATGAAGATTAAAAAGGTTAAAAAACACTAAAATATCAATAAAGTATAMAAACTCTTTGCATCAGTTTGGGTCAGTTCAAAAGACAACGTCTAATTAACAAAGTCGATTTGTCTCGCCTTTGTGGCGTTAATTTTGTCATAGATGGGATATAAAATACTTTCACTTACCAGATTAATGACACATCTATGCAAAGCTCTTATGTATGTGGGATTGAGTTTCTTTGTACGTTTTTATAGTATCATTTCAGTTACTTTCGATCCAGCTTCACTGATCAACATTTAAAACTGTTTATTCGTGGATTAATGAGGGTTCGAAATAAGTGACTGTCATTTCACCATGTGAACTACTCATCATGTGCTTAATATGAGAATTTCATCCTGACAGRTTATACTCAGTTGGCACTTTCCATTTGTCAGAACCGACTGGCCAGACCCAGAGAAAATGTCATTATATGTCATTCCCATTTAGTTAGGAAATTCAGATTTTCAAATTATATCCATTATTATACAGAAAACCTCAAAATGACTGTAAAATGTTGACAAAAAGCATTATATATCTCTAAATAGAGTGGACTGGCCGGCCAGTTCTGCCTAATTGGAAAGCACCCTCAGATTCTTCCAAATTTGGAAAATCGAAGACTCTGGTTGGAAGCGAATGATTATAGTTTGATTTGATTGGTTCAAAGATTCCCATGCGTCATATAATACGACCTAGAATTTTATATAAATCATGTACAGCCAGAGCTTTTTCGGTTTTCCTTTGGGAAACTGAGAAGTATCTGGGTACGAGAATGTAAAAGCACAGAACCTCGTCTCCCCAAATGATTATTCACTAAAACTTGACGTGAAAAAGTAAATAGAAAAGAACACTTTTGCATAAATAACGCAACATTTATTTGAATTTGGACACGTTTTTTATAAACTTATTATATGTTTCATTGCGTGCAGTAAATACTAACTGTAAAAGATGAAATTTAGAAAAAAAGGAAAACAAACTATTATTATCACTAATAAGTCTGTTAGTAAAGACCATTGTCATTTGAATGACGTGCGAACTTGAGATATTCACTAAAACACATCAGTGATCAAGCTACGTCTAAAGCCAAGTAAAATCCCAAGTGAGACAGGCAACTTCTTGGTTGTTTTGATCTGTACATGAACCTTCGACGTGGTACTTGCCCTGAAAAAATTGATACATGTAGGTTTTTGTATACAGGAACTTTATACTTTCTGAATCTATAAASTACCTTAACATATCAAACAACTTTTACCTACCTTTACCAATATTTTAAGCAAAGTGGTTGGTATTGGTTTAGACTTGACGGTATAGGTTTCTGCATAAAGATTTAAGAAAACTATTGCTTGAGTCAAATAAATCATGCACTCGGAAGACTCCTTGGAATACTTTATGCCCATTCCCTACTCTCAAAACAGATCAGAAGAATGAAATACAAAACAATCATTTGTTTTAGTTCTAGAATGGTTTGAGTGATAATAATGATAACTTACTTCCTTTTAACATAGGACAACTAACTCTGGTGTTATCACATAAGTCAGGAAAAACTTGAGAAAACATGGTTATTCCGAGCCATTTCAAAGAAGCTTTGCAAGTCAAATACAGGATATCAGATTCTGGTGAGATAAAAGAACAATAATGAGACTCCGCATATTGGTATCCAGATGAGGTTACGCTCTTCAGATCAAAATGGATATTTTCGAAAGTGTATTTACAGTAGAAAGGATCTTGTATCTCTTAGTTCTTAGTGTTAATGACACAATCAGTTTGGACTGATTATTTTTTTGCTTAGCTCCTTGGCAGCAGGGCAGTGGATTGGACAACTATATTTTTAACACACTTGTGTCAATTCTCACGTGCTGATTGGCTGATAACAGTGTGCCAATAAGAGGACATGCACATTGTACCGTGTTTTTTGTACAGTCATACGAAATCCGCTTAAGAGTACGTACAACGAAAAACCTTGCCTAATTTGTTAACGTTTCATATTCGCGCAAATCATTCGCGCGCGCGGGATTGGCCAATCAGAATAGAGGACACGCAAWGGCAGCCATGTTGTCCCACAAAAAATGTAAACAAAGTCAGTCGGAGGGCGAAGTTGAGATGGTTTGGAGGTGTTGCTGGGGCACTTATAAAGCAGATGAGCGCTACACAGCCAGGTTAAATTAATGGAGGAAGTCAAAAACTAATCTAGAAAAATGCTTGAAATAGATCAAGATGTGCGGACAAAAGGGAATAATTAAATCCTTTCTCTAGGACTTTCTCAGATAAAGTTAAATGTTTTTAACAAAAGAAACAGAAATTTTATCGACAAACTGTCGGAAGACTATGTGTCATTTACGAAAACTCGAAAGCTTTTGCGGGACAAGACGGACAAGTCGCGAGCGTTCGATTGCCGCGCTTTCTTCTGAATGGCTAATCCTACGATCGAGAATATGTGTACCGCCAGGACAGCACGAAAACAATTTCCTGCACGAAAAAAATGCTTACTTGGAGTTGCAGATCCTTTCACAGTCACCATGCTATTTCACCAGGAACAAGTTGTTTTGGAACAAATTCCACACTTAGCGAAGCATATATTCCTCCTGTCAAATCAACGACAACAATAGAGGTGTGTCAGCGGTGTGTTGTATGGAAATTCCAATCTTGAACATGAATTACAGTGAGATAAATAAGGCGACAAATAAGGTCACTGTTGAGTTCAGTAGCTATTAAGCCGGCGCAATTTACTGCAATGGAGCAAAATTTAAATGATTATCTGTCCCACATCGATAGCAACCCCTTTATTTTGCACAAGCTAGGGGAGTGATGGTGTTTTTATAAAATTCCTTCAAAATCAAAAGTTAGGGTCTATAATGCGATAATTTAAAACAAAGACCTTTGTTTGATCAGTATTGGGTTGTCAACATGTTGTGACCTGTTGTAATTCTGAGATTTTTATCAGATTTATAAGGTTTGTCACCTGAACAGTCCTTATTGGTTATTTGTACTTCTCACTCACCATGACAAGCCATTAATGACTGGTTCTGCATTTCTGGAGATTCCACTGGGTTTGGCAACGGAACTAAATGATTTCCATGGATACCAAATGTCATTCCAAGAAGCAGTACGACAATGGCAGCAATGCGCAACACGTTATTGCGGCGTAAGAGATTTCTCATAAWYATGGTATGCTGTTATTTGCAAATAATTTTGAAAGAAAAAATATATAAGTGGTATACTTTTTATAACATAAGATGATGGTAAAGAGCTATCGTTGTTTCCCTGGATAGTCCTGAAAACAGCAACAACAACAGCAACAATGACAACAACAAAGACAACAAAAGCAATACCTGCAACAACAACAACTACTACTACAACAACAACAGCAATGACGACGACAGCAACAACAACAGCAGCAGCAGCAAAATAGGCAACAGCGACAACGACAACAACAGTGATGACGACGACAATAAAAGCGATAAYAACAACAGCAACAACAAGTTCATCAACAACAACAACGACAAGAACTGAAACAAACAAAACAAAAGCTATTTACTATTCATCACTTCCATTTCGATATACGAAAGCAAAAGCACCATTACCAAACCATTTTTGCTTTCTTTACAAGTCAGCGACATGGATAGTTATACACCTATGCATTGTTTTCGCYAGAGAATAATCTATTCGTGCGTTTAGCGCTGTCTTCGGCGACTCTACACTATATGCCGTTGTCATACATGTTCAAAAAACGTTACTCTTTTTGCAAAAGGACACATCCTTCGGTATCACGAATCACGATGGAAGGAATAATTTGTTTGTATTGCCAGGTATTGCTAATGGTCACTGGTATATAAAGAGACAAGTCCTAAGATTTACCAGTCAATCTCATCAATCCTYGTTTAGCTTTCGTGGATAATAAAGCTGCTCTGATAGAGTTAATTTTTCCGAATTATGGGTTCATTTGTGAAAACGTCTCTAGCATTATCTGGAATGAATAATTATAGAGCAAAGCTCTATAGCTAAATTAGTTAATAGAAATTGTTTACAAAAGCAAAATTCAGAGTTTAAAGTAGTCTTACACATTCCTTACCGTTGTCTTGTTTGCATCAATGCAGGCTCTGYTTGATTCCTTAAAAGACTCAGGTATATCCTTGTTCTCGCCTTTTTATGACGACATCAGCTACGAACTGTCTGGACGGGAATTCAACTCGCTTTACATGATTCGTAAGGGGCTTTTTTTACTTTCGAATCTTTGAATAGAGTCAGCAGTGCGTAAAGGCCTTGAACAGGAAATGGCAAGTTAAGCATTTCGTATCATATTCAGCTGCAAATTGCGGTTTTTTTTTTCAGGGATAGACAGCATTTGCTTCATTCACATCTAGATTACATCATACTCTATTTACTTACTGAACATTTTATTGATTACCATTCAATGGCGTCAATACTAAATATACAAAAAAATACATGAATAAACCAAATATTATTCAGTAAGATCGAAAATTGAAAAGAATAAATTAAACGAGTAGAAGGTACTTAGTAATTTGCATATACAGGAAAAAAATCCCAAGGAGTCATTAAAAGACCTTTTAAAAAACACATAGAAATTCGTTCTTGACTAATTGGTAGGAAATAGTACATCCTAAGATAAGTCAACGCGTAACCAAAGTGTGCTGTAGTGTGAAGTTGCGATCAGCATTTCTACTTTAAGCGATTCCGAACTATGGCTTGCACATGCTCTACTGTACTGCGTCAATTTTTGACCAGGAATAGCGCGCATGCCATCTAGCGGAGCTAGCGTGCGATATGTTATACTTTTAGGAAATGACCCGATTCAACCATTTGACATGCTACAGTGCTTAAACGAATGTGGTGACCTATTTCTATTCCTTTATATTGCTCATATATAGAAAACATATATTTATTTGCCGACTTTGAGATATCTGTAGTGATGAATTTGTAGTAACAGTTTTATTATCTTGAATGCTGAGTTCTTTTAAACATATATAGAGTATAAGGATGACACTTAATCCAATATTGTGGCACCAATATCGCAAATTTATGACCATCGGCGTTGAATGCTGCTTTTTTCGATTCCTGCAATCGGAGAATAAATCGCGTACGTTGACCCCTAAGATGGTGAGCTCCATCCCCCTATTTTATTTTTGTGGGCGTCTTCACAAAGTTAATCATTGTGCAAATTTTCATTGAAAATTTGAGTAGTACAGGTGAAAATAACTTTTCGGAAGTGAAATATATGTATTTCAGAGATATTTATAACGATAAACGCATTTAAATGACTTAAATGCTCGATTTACTATATTGTTGACATGCACTATTTCTTGATTTCTTTGATTAGGTCCAAATTTTCTTTTGGGAAAAGAGAAGGATTTTGGTGTGAGAATGTAGAAGCACAAAACCTCGTCTCCCCAAATGATTATTCACTAAAACTTGACGTGGAAAAGTAAATAGAAAAAGAAGGAGRACACTTTTGCATGAAATAACGCAAAATTTATTTGAATTTGTACAACGTTTTTGAAAACAGGTGTATTTTAACGTCCAGCAGTTATTCAACTTATTATGTTTCACGGTGCGTTACATACTAACTGTAAAATATGAAATTTAGAAAAAAAATGGATGAAAACAAACGACTTTTATCACTCATAAGTCTGTTTGTATAAAAAMCATTGGCATTTGAATGAAATGCGAACTTGAAATTTTCACTAAAACACACATGATCAAGCTACATCTAAAGCCAAGTAAAATCCCAAATGAGACAGGCTATTTCTTGGTTGTTTTGATCTGTACATAACGCTTCGACGTGGTAYTTGCCCTGAAAGAATTGATAATCACTGATAACATGATGAAGGTTTTTGTAAACAGGATAGAGAAACTTTCGACTTTCTGAATCTAGATGACTACCTTAACATTAAGCTATACGAAGCTATACCTACCTTTACCAAAACACCCAGCAAAGAGATTATTGGTTTAGACTTGAACACGTAGGTTTCTGCATTAAAGATAGTTAAAAAAAGCTATTGCTAGAGTCAAATAAATCATGCACTCGGAAGAATCGGAATCCTGGGAATACTTTATGTGGGGGGAGGGGAGGGGTGCTTTATGCCCATTCACTGTTCTCAAGAACAGACCAGAAAAATGAAATACAAAACAATCATTTGTTTTAATTCTAGAATGGTTTGAGTGATAATAATGATAACTTACTTCCTTTTAACATAGGACAACTAACTCTGGTGTTATCACATAAGTCAGGAAAAACTTGAGAAAACTTAGTAATTCCATTCCATTTCAAAGAAGCTTTGCAAGCYAAATACAGGATATCAGATTCTGGTGAGATAAAAGAACAATAATGAGGCCCCGCATATCTGTAGCGGCAGATTAAGTTCCGCTGTTCAAATGAATTTTTTCGAAAACGCATTTTTCATCAAAGAATTGTATGTCATTCGTGCGGGATCCCTGTGTATTTAGTTTTGGGCTTCCTTTAGCGAATCCATGCCATATATGGAAATAAACAAAATGSCCAATTCTTCAGAAATGTTTCGCTGTGATATCTGCAAGTTTCTCACGACTTTGAAAGTTGAGAAAGTCGCCACACGTACTTCCAAATAAGGTAAGATTACCAAGTATGACTGCTAAATGAAGGGCAACTTTTCTGAGGCAATTCTTTGAAGTAAAAAGGAGAACCAAGACGATTGACTATCATCGTCTTCTTTTTCTTGTGTTGATTAGTTTTTGGTGATAAAGTTTCTAGATTTATTGCGTAGCTGCTTAGTAATAGATTTGACAACTTCGATCACAAAGGAATATCGTGTCGACATATTCGCGCATCCTGACAATTAATTGAAAGAATAAAAAAATGCGTACTTGGAGTTACAGATCCTTTCACAGCCACCATTTCACCACGAACAATTCGTTTTGGAACAAATTCTACACTTAGAGAAGCATATTTTCCTCCTGCCAAGTCAACGACAACATTAGATGTGTGTCTGTCAGTGGTGTGTTGTAATCTCGAACATGAATTACATTGAGATAAATGAGGCGACAAATATGTTAACTGTTGAGTTCAGTAGCTATTAAGCCGGGGCAATTTACTGMAATGGAGCAAAATTTAAATGATTATCTAGTATCYCACATCGATAGCAAGTCATCTTTTTGCACAAGGGAGTGCTGGTATCTTTCTTAAATTCCTTCAAAACCTCGCTAAAGTTAGACTAAGAACTTTGCTGGTGTTGGGTTGTCTGAATGGTGTTGTGTTGTAATTCTGATTTACAAGGTTTGTCACCTGATCAAATAGACAGTCAGTCCTTTTCTATTGCTCACTCACCTTGACAAGCCATTAATGACTGGTTCTGCATTTTTGGAGTTTCCATCGGGTTTGGCAACGTTACTAAATGCCGGTTTCCATGGATACCAAATGTCATTCCAAGAAGTAGTACGACAATGGCAGCAATGCGGAACATGCTGGTGCAGCGCAAGAGATTTCTCATAAACATGGTATGCTGGTAAACAATTGTGAAAAAAAAAATATATATATATATATAAGTGGTATGGTTCTGATAACACAGAGAAAATAAATGCACAGGCATGGTAAACAGCTATCGTTTCCCCGGATAGTCCTGAAAACAACAACAACAGCAGCAACAATGACAACAACAACAAGAGCACTGACAAAGACAGCAACAACAGCAACAAAGACAACAACAACAATGATAATGACGACGACGACAAGAAATATGGCGACGACAGCAACAACAACAGCAGCAGCAGCAGCAGCAGCAGCAACATGGACAACGACAGAAACTTAAACAAACAAAAAACAAAACTATTTGTTATTTGCATTTACATGTCGATAAACGAACGCAAAAGCCAAATAAATAGACCATTTTTGCTTTCTTTATTAGTCAGGGACATGGATAGTTATATTGTTTTCGATAGAGAATAATCTATTCGTGTGTTTAGCGCGGTTTCGAATGTCGCTTGTTTGTATACATGCTCAAGGACACATCCATTGGTATAACGATGGACGGAATAATTTGTTTGCATTACTACAGTAATGGTCAATGGTTTATCTAAGGAGACTGGACCTAAGCCTTACCAGTCAATTTCATCAATCTTACTTTAGTTTTCATGGTTAAAAGCTGCTCTGATAGAGTTAATTTTTCCGAATTATGGGTTCATTTGTGAAAAACGTCTCTAGCATTATGTGGGATGAATAATTGTACAGCAAAGCTCTATAGCTAAATTAGTTAATGGAAAAGCAAACTTCACAGTTTAAAGTAGTCTTACGCATCATTCCTTACCGTTGTCTTGTTTGGATCAATRCAAGCTCTGTTTGATTCCTTAAAAGACTCTTGTTTTCGTCTATTTATGACGATATCAGCTACGAAACTCCTGTCTGGAAGGGGCTTCAACTCGCTWTACTTGACAAACAAAAGATTCGAAAGGGGGCTTTTTTATTTTCGAATCTTTGAATAGAGTAAACAGCTCGTAAAGGCCTTGAACAGCAAATGGTAAGTTACGCATTTCGTATCATATTCAACCAGCTGCAAACTACACTAACGAGGCCGATTTTTTCAAGACATTTGGTTTAGTCACCATCTCATTATATCATACTCTATTATTTATTGAATATTTGTTGATTACCCTCACAATGACGTCAATTCTAAAAATAAACCAAAGATTTTCAGTAAGATTGAAATTGAAAAGAAAAAATATATATATAGGATCGAGGTAGGGAGGAGAAAGAAAAACAACATGACTTATTCCATTTTCATTCATTTTTGATCTGTCTGAAAATTGTAGTAAAAATAGTCCTSAAATCCATCACACTCCACGAGATTCATTTATCAATGCATCTCGTTCACGACTATCACTTGTGAAAGTACCGCTGCTCGTTTTATGGAAGAGTAGAAGGCTCAGACAGCAGCTCTTACAGCAGCTCATACAGGCCTTCACACGACCGAAGCATGATGTATGGTTGGGACCATGGCAACACTTGGTGCACTTTGTGATGATAGCCTTCGAAACAGTACCTGGAATGCAATGGAAAATCTCTTGTCACAAGAACATGGGAACATTGTGTCATTCACCGTTACAACCAGACAAGCCACATGGAACACACATCAAAAGTCATGACAATCAAGAATAAGGGGAAGTACCCATAACTTTCAAAATGTCGCGTTTGTTCCGTTTTTGTGTGTGTGTGGATAAAACTGATCATGCAGTTGATACATGTGCAGTTTCTCTGTCATAATGAAGCAAACAGCCAACATCCGACTTTTTTGTCATACTCACCAATAACCAAGCCAATGACGAGAGTATTAATGATAATCAGCAAYACTGAGACACCAATGTTGTCATTGTGCTTGTTCACAGTGATGTCGTCGCTGTTGTCAGATGACTTCAACATCGTGCCAATACCAAGATTTAAGAATATCGCCATTAACGAGATGGTTTGCAGAAGGTTTTCAAAGTTGTTTCTGATTGGACGTTTGTATACGTAAAGAACTGCAAACAGCGCTGAAACAATTGCGCCCAGACCAACCTGGGTACGACTGTGTTCACCAATCAGAGCTAACACGGAAACGAGAACCAACTTCCGGATCATTTCCAATCCTTCCCAGTACCAGCAATTTGGCTTATAGTTCTCACTGAACAGACGAAGACCAGCTTTGAATGGAGATTTGGCTGAAGATGTCGTGAAAGTGAACGCTCCACTTGAAGGAACACCATGACTAGTGCATTGTCCGCCATTTTCATCTTCAGTGCTTTCTTTTGAGGCGTATTTCCAAACTAAGATCATCACGACCAAAGGAAAGCCGATAGGATACCAAAGGAAAACCATAGCAGCCMGCGAGTAATTGGTGTAGTTCGGTTTTGTGCTGCAAAGAATCGAGAAATCAGCACGAAGATACGAGCTGCAATGGTCGTGTTGGTTATCAAAGCAGAGAGACAAGCAGTTCACAGGCAGAACTTGGATGATACTCGTGCAAGTCTTGGGATAAGACGCAAACAGAAACACACAAATATTACGAATGGCTGAACTTTTAGCTTTTAGAACAGCTTCTTCRATGTCTWYTTGAGAACGATTTGATTTTCTTMTCCTMAGAAATRAGATTCGTACGACCAGATAGRCAAGAAATACACMAACGACGCCAGCATTCACACCGATCACAATAACAAACTGTTGAAGGACGTTGAAAGACAGTTTTGATGATATGCAGCTTAGAGGAGCGATTTCTAGGACATTAAACTGAATGTACTTAAGAAATTTCTGCATCCAAATAACAGATGAAGGCCATTCGATGTGCGTGGTGGCAGAGTAAACACCCGACATAACCTGAAATGAAGCACGACCACATAAGCTGGTATCGCTGAACGGTTACTCAGTTGGTGATATCAAAATCTTTGTACTCAAAGGAAGAAATGTCTATTGACATGGAGTCTAACGTTAACGTACCTAAAGTTTACATTACAAAACCTCAGCCTCACCTGGTAAAAACCAATGACAATCTTGAAACACGACAGAATCTTATCAGCAATAGTTCTTCCTCGCTCACTGWCTACTTGTTTTTTGTCKCCCCACAATATGGCCAGTAAAACTAATATGAACAGTACAATAACTAAGACCACCCTRATGGTAGCCCACACCTTTCCAGGACAGCTGATGCAGCTGGAAACAAAATAAAAAACTGTTTATTTGAGGGTTGTTGAACTTCATTGCAAACAMGTGCGGTTTGTCGACAACATCGTTCTGTCTATTAAGTCGGAAAGCCAGAATAATTTAATCCCTAATTTCACAGCTTATTGTTTTCCCGATCGCTGCATCCTTTGCGATTAAATTTGCTCGTATTTAAGCGGAGTACAAACCTGTTCATCCTGTTATAATAGCCTACGTCACAAAGTGAGCAGAGAGGACCATGGTGACCAATGACACAACTAGAGTTCAGTCCACCGCGGCATGACTTATGCGGGCATTTGTGAGGTACTGGAAGCGACCCTGTAAATGTCCACGTCCCGTTTGTGTAGTCCCTGCTTTCAATCATCAAGTTGGTAATGTACCTATCGTAGTCGTTTTTCATGCTTTCATTTGTCCATTCCCAGTAGTAGCCTTCTGAAAGAATGGCGTAGTCGTTGGTACAATTTACACCTTTACTTGGGCATGGAAAGCACCGATCAAATCGATCAAATCTGTAGAAGTTTTGGAGACATTTGCAAGCTCTGTATCCTGACCACTGACTTGACTGTGTGCCTTTGACCAGAATATTGATGGAAATGAAAATACATAAGTAAATATAATGCCGATTCAAATTAAAGTATGAAAAAATCAATCAAKGATRAAACACTATAGGGCTGATCAGGTSTACCTTGTGGACATGCCTGACAGGTCTGGGGTCCAGTTGCTGGTGCATTCTTGGGATGGACAAATGTGCCGACATTGCATTTTTTGCAATGTAATTGTGCCAATTCGTCCTGGAAAAACCCTCCTATAAAAAKTATCGATGTCAATAATATACTGTTACAGTTGATACTAGTTGATACTAGTACAGACCATGGAAAAATTGTGTTCTGTAACGACCATCCGTCATAATGATTTTGAATACATTACTTACCAGCGGAGCAGTTGAAGCATTCACCTTCGCATCCTTTTTCCACACCAAATGTACCTTGTCTACATGGCATACATCGATAGTTAAATTGAAAATTCTCGTGACATACATATCCCGATTTTGACAGTGTCTTTGCCACGGCTTTGGGAAGGTTAGTGATCCACTGATGTGAGCAATAATTTGTACAAATGCTGAAATTTAACGTCAATTTGTTATACATTTGAATGGAATACAATATGGATCAGACAGATCGATTTCCCGGCATAACTTACATCTCCGTCTGAGAATCTGGAAGATGTGGTGTAATCTTGAGGCTCTGACAGTCAAGAGTTCTATAATAGGATAGTCGACCACATCAGAAGGAAAAAAGAATGGAAACAGTAGAAAACAAGGAGAATCTCAACTTACATAGTAGATGAGCCTTTTAAATCGCCGAAAAARGCTCTTCCAACTTCACGAATATCATTCGAGAACAAATGTCTAATTCAAAACAAAACAAAACGTCTGTTAACAGGTAGCAACAATTTTTGACGAAAATCTGCTCATTAGTCTTATAGTTTCTATCAAAATTGAGATATACACGCGTGGATTAGCCAACTACATGTTCAGGAGCGGCTAGAATGATTTTATTTTACAGGCCTTACTTACATTGTCGTATTGGATTTATTCATTCCTCTGAACGGGCGTCCTGTCAACTTGGTGAACTTATTTCTACTCAAAAATCTGAAAAATAATTATTATTGAAGAAATTATGATAAATTACTTATCATGAAGTAAGTACAAGAATTGATAAACGAAAAACTAACTGAGTAGTGTACATTCTTCACAATTTCACTACGTATCATATTGTAATAATACTTACATGTCGCTTAGCTCCATATTAGTAAAAAGAGAGTCTGGTAATGACGATAATTCATTACTGAACAAAAACCTGCATGATTTAAAACTCTTAAAAACTTTAAAAGATAGGTAAAAAGATGATATCTATATTGTTTATAAAATGAATAGTGTGACTTTGACATCACCATTAGTTCTACGTGCACTTACAATCGTTTAAGGTGTGGCAAACCAAAAAAACTGTCTTYGTGGAGTCTGCGGATTTTGTTGTTCTGTAGAACTCTATGATAATCAAGAGAACAAAACAAAAGAAAAAGCAAAACAGGTTAGGGATCAATCATCGAGCAAGATTGGTCTAGCATATKGATATATCCAAATAGTCTCCTTCGAGGTTACCTGCGCCATCTTGAAAGGTAACCGTGGCTTTGCATCGAAACGAGACGACCACTGAGCGTGCAATGATAGAAACCTTCTTTCACACCTACAGACAATTATTCACAGGTTTCTATCATTGCACACACAACGGTCGTCTCGCTTCGATGTAAATGAGGCACGGCTACCTTTCAACATGGCGCAGGTAACCGTGAAGGAGAGTATTATCCGTTTTGGATAGGTACGTGCCGCCAGAGGTCTAAAACCCTTACCCTGTTTAAGACACTAGAAAGTAAAAATCCATACCTTGTTCAACCATCAAAACTGCAATTAGTTTGTATTATTATACTCACAATTCRGTCAAGTAAGAGCCTTGGAATTGTCTTGGCTTGATCTCCTCAATTTGGTTTATTGACAAGTCCCTTAACAAAAACTTTATTTCAGTCATGTCAGATCATGATAAGCGAAAAATAAATTGATAAATGACGAATAATCAATAGCTGGATGCCTCGTCTATCTCAAACTGGAATTGTACTTACAGTGTACTGACAAYAGCAATGTTATCAAACACACCGAGGGGAATCGTTGAGATATTATTTTCACTCAAATCACTGTATGGAAATTAAAAGAGATCATAAGAGAAATRTTGAATTGAAATAATGAAATCAACACTAGTATAACTTACATTGCTGAAATACTTTTGATTCCTGACTTTGATAAAGCAGATATATTTGAAATTTGGTTGAACCAAAAGTTTCTGGTTGAAATATATAGTAAATTCATATAAGTCCTTGGCTATTGAGTTGGTAACAATAAATTATTATATATATAACTTATTATATTATAAATAKTAGTCAATATCAATGATCAACTCACAGATGATCAACTTGTGGGTTTATTCCTTTTAGGTCTGGAATAGACGTCAATTTGTTCTTGCTTAAATCTCTGGACAAAGACAAGCATCAATATATTAAATAGAAATAATTTGACCCTGGAKACATTAATACTCGACAAAAGAAAATATTTCTCGATCTTCAATGAACTAGACTTTTTATATAAAGCTTTAGCGCAACTTGCACTGTTGTCGATGGATCTCACTAAGGGACCCCAATGCAYAGTCCAGAATAGTCCGACACTAAATTACATTACAAGCAACAAACACTTACAAACTTCTYGTATTTACTCCTTCAAATGTTCCATCTTCAATGTGAATTATTCCATTATGACGAAAATCTCTAGATATGGACAAAGGAAAAACACAGAGCATGTTAACATGGTAATGATTGAAATTATCTTAAGAATCATGTATTATATTCTAGCYCAACTATGAAATAAACATGCCCGAGTGAGGTTTTCAAAAAGTATCAAAATTCAASAAGCCGCTGTTAGCAAATTCAAACCGGCTTGTAAGCATAGAAAAGCACCAGCCAGGACCGATAAAGTGGCCACATACAC